GTGATGTTCCTTGATTCGTATGATAATTTTACTCCAATATATTTCGACAATATATTTCTGTTTGCAGGCGCCGCATGATATTCAGCAAACTCCTGAAATATCCACTTTGCCTACACTTTCATGTTGAATCGGTAGACTTGTGAAAAGTGTTGATTTTTCCTTTAGGGCCACCACATTATTCCATTTCCCTAGTGTTGGCCGTACTTTTTCCGTTAGTTCGCAAGAAGTTAGGCATATCCACTTTTGTGAATCCTTCATCGTCCTTAATGTTCTTTTATAGTGACCGTTCTTCCATACGCTTTTCACGGCCTGTATGTTTCCTTGTATTACTTCGTTTGGGTAGCCGTTTTCGAGTAAAATCCTAGTCAATTTAACTAACTTCTCGTCCCAGAATTGCACATCCGTTAAACGTAGGCTTCGGATGATGATGCTCCTCATTTTTCCTATCTTTAGCCGGTAATTGTGATGGGATGGAAGTTGAGTATTATCTAGGCATAAGACTTCCTTCTGAACAATTTAGTTGTGAGTGTTACATTAGAGCAAATCACTTCAACATCCAGGAACGGTAACCACTTACCTTCTTCTACCTCCATCGTAAAGTTAATTTTTTCATCAGTCTGGTTTATAAACGTCCGAAATTCTTCCAATTCTTCTCTTCCATGTAATCAAATTGTGAAGTAATCATCTAGGTACAGCATGATCACTGCTAGTTGTAGCGGTGACATCTTGAAGTTCTCTTCTATTTTGTTTATGTATACGTTTGCCAAAAGTGGTGGGAGCGGCGATCTTATTGAAGTCAAAATATTTGTTCTTTGATGGTCCTGCTGAATGTAAAATAGCTTGTCCTTATTTTCAAGATGATAAATCGAAAGGAGACTGCGACCATACCGGGGGCCACACTATCTTGTTTTTAATATCTTCTTATATTTATTTATATTGGAAGCGAAAAGTAAGTAATACCATATCTGCCGTAAAACGTGTAACTAATTCAATTTTTTTCTACAATATACTTTCTAAAATATTTTTATAGTCTTCATTGTTAAACTTTTTTTCACGCGTCAGGTAGCACAATTTCCTGAAGAGCTGGTCACATATGGTGGCAATGGTCAGGTCTTTTCTAACTGGGCCCAATTCTGGCTCGTGATGCAGGCTCTGTCTCGCCTTACCAAAGAGTTAACCCTCATTCTATACTCTGGTCATCCCTTAGGCTTGTTTCCCAGCCCCACATCAGCTCCGCGTCTTGTGATTACCAATGGCATGCTGGTTCCAAAGGCCGGCCAGGAAGCTGGTTACAATCGCTTATTTGCACTAGGAGTTAGCCAGTACGGTCAGATGACGGCGGGCTCTTATTGTTATATTGGTCCGCAAGGTATTGTGCACGGAACTACGCTGACTCTATTAAATGCATTACGCAAGAAGAATAGAGAAGACCAATCCTCGCAAGGGATGTCTCGAGAGACGCGAAGTTCGGAGGGGTGTGAAAATGCAAACAGCCCAGGTTGGGGAAAAGTTTTCATCACTTCCGGTCTGGGAGGAATGAGTGGGGCTCAGGCAAGCATGAATTATATCTTATAACTTTTTACTTCAAAGCCCCAGATTAAGGATCTTTATCATTATACCCAAGTGAATAGTCACAGTATTTTGGTTATTAATTTAATTGCACAAAACTGGATGTAGTATATTTCTGCCTTTAAATTAGTTTACAGTAGAACTACTGCTATGTATCTAAGACCTAACATATGCTACCAATTCCTTGCTATTTCAAGGATTTCGCAAACTGCTGTGCTTTTAATAAAGGTATTTTTTGTGCCTAGTATTGGGGACTACCAATAGAATATATATTAGATGCACAAACCATATTATTTTTAAGGGGATAAGGGAATGGCTGATGAATTTCCCCACAATGAATCTCACACAACCTTGCATCCCTAAATGTGTTCTCATCCATGGTGGATTATACCTCGCCTAGGTTTTATCAGCCACCCCAGAGGCACTCGTACCCGCGTTATGCGAAGTATCGACCCGACACGCCAACACATATATCACACTGTCGCGATTGCTCTTCTGCCACAGAACATGTGTGCATTTTCGAAAAATCAGGCCTTTCGTATATCATTTTCTATGGTGGGATTGTTGATAAAGCAACGTCGTATTTGTTATTACAATAGACTAGATTACTTCTTTTCATTTATAAGTAGATCATAAATATGAGAGGTACTCATTCAAT